CAACCCCTCATCTTGCCATATAGGACAAGCAAAAAATTTGTGTATGCAATAATTTCGCCAAAATCATTCTGACCCTAACGAAAAAAATATATTTCACTGTGTCTGTTTAGTATTAAATTATTGTAAACAAATCTGAAATATATTTTGTTGGGTTAGGCTAAAATAAATTGTCCTTGTTATAATAAGGTTAGGTAAGTTTTCTAAGATTCTTTTGGTGCAAAATTAAAAATTTTTACATTAACATTAATGAAAAAAACATATCTGTAAGTGTATAAGAGAAAATTTTAGAAAGGACTTAATTTTAAATGAATTCTTGCTAATTGACCAGTTTTACATATTCGGCGGCACGGCATATATATATAATATTAAATATATTATATATATATATATATATATATATATAATATATAATATATTTATATATTTTATATATAGTGGGTTGGGTAGACAGCAACCACCCAGGGAAGTACTACCGTCCTGCCAATGACTGTGAAACAAAAACCTGTAATTGTTTTGCATGATGGTAGGATTGCTGGTTTTTTTTTCTGTCTCATAAACACGCTAAGATAACAGGGATATCTTGCACTCCTACTAACACTTTGGTCACACTTCACAGACACGCACATGATATATATAAATACAAACATCTAGGTTTTTCTCCTTTTTCTAAATAGCTCTTGTTTTTTTTTATTTCTTCTATTGTCCATGGGGAAGTGGAAAAGAATCTTTCCTCCGTAAGCCATGCGTGTGTATGAGGCGACTAAAATGCCGGGAGCAATGGGCTAGTAACCCCTTCTCCTGTATACAATACTAAAAAAGAGAAGAAGAAAAACTTTATAAAACTGGGTTGCTTAAATGTGCGTGGATGTAGTGCGGATGACAAGAAACAGTTGGGTTGCTGATGTTTTTGAATGAAAAGAATTGGATGTCCTGGCCCTAAGCGAAAACAAAGCTGAAGGGGGTAGGAGAGTTTCAGTGGGGGGAAAATAAATGGGATTTAAATCTGGAGTATCTGAGAGAGTTTTGAGCAAAAGGGAAGGGGTAGCAGTAATGTTAAATGATCAGTTATGGAAGGAGAAAAGAGATAGAATGTGGGAAATTCAAGAATTATGTGGATTAAGTAAAGGTTGGATGCGAGAAGTGGGTCATAATAAGCCGGGGTATGCACCTGGGGGAAGAGAGGAATGCAGAGGAGGAGAGAGATTTTGGGAGATGTTAAGTGAATGTATTTGGAGCCTTTGAACCAAGTGAGAGAGTAATTGTGGTAGGGGACTTGAATGCTAAAGTAGGAGAAACTTTTAGAGAGGGTGTGGTAGGTAAGTTTGGGGTGCCAGGTTGTAAATGATAATGGGAGCCCTTTGATTGAACTTTGTATAGAAAGGGGTTTAGTTATGTAATACATATTTTAAGAAAAAGAGGATAAAAAAGTATACACGATATGATGTAGGGCGAAATACAGTAGTTTGTTGGATTATGTATTTGGTAGATAAAAGACTGTTGAGTAGACTTCAGGATGTACATGTTTATAGAGGGGCCACAGATATATCAGATCACTTTCTAGTTGTAGCTACACTGAGAGTAAAAGGTAGAGGGATACAAGGGGGAATAGAAGCATCAGGGAAGAGAGAGGTGAAGGGTTTTTATAAACTAAAAGAGGAGGCAGTTGGGTAAGATATAAACAAGCTATTGGAGGATAGATGGGCTAATGAGAGCAAGGCAAGGGGGTCGAAGAGGAAATGGGTAGGTTTTAAAAATGTAGTGTTAGAGTGTTCAGCAGAATTTTTGTGGTTACAGGAAAGTGGGTGCAGGAGGGAAAAAAGGACGATTGGTGGAATGATGATGTAAAGAGAGTAGTAAGGGAGAAAAAGTTAGCATATGAGAAGTTTTTTACAAAGTAGAAGTGATGCAAGGAGGGAAGAGTATATGGAGAAAAAGAGAGAGGTTAAGAGAGTGTGAAGCAATGAAAAAAAGAGAGCAAATGAGAGAGTGGGTGAGATGTTATCAACAAATTTTTGTTGAAAATAAGAAAAAGTTTTGGAGTGAGATTAACAAGTTAAGAAAGCCTAGAGAACAAGGATTTGTCAGTTAAAAATAGGAGAGGAGAGTTATTAAATGGGAGTTAGAGGTATTGGGAAGATGGAAGGAAATTTTGAGGAATTGTTAAATGTTGATGAAGATAGGGAAGCTGTGATTTCGTGTTAATGGGCAAGGAGGAATAACATCTTTTAGGAGTGAGGAAGAGCCAGTTTGAGTGGGGGGGGGAAGTTCGTGAGGCAGGGGGTAAAATGAAAGGGGGGAAGGCAAGGGCCCGGGGTTGATGGGATAAAGATAGAAATGTTAAAAGCAGGTGGGGATATAGTTTTGGAGTGGTTGGTGCAATTGTTTAATAAATGTATGGAAGAGGGTAAGGTACCTAGGGATTGGCAGAGAGCATGCATAGTTCCTTTGTATAAAGGCAAAGGGGGATAAAAGAGAGTGCAAAATTATTGGGGGATAAGTCTGTTGAGTGTACCTGGTAAAGTGTATGTAGAGTTATAATTGAAAGAATTAAGAGAAAGGGACGGAGAATAGGATAGAGATGAACAAGGAGGCTTTAGGAAAGGTAGGGGGTGTGGGGGACCAGGTGTTTACGGTGAAACATATAAGTAACAGTATTTAGATAAGGCTAAGAGGTCTTTGTGGCATTTATGGATTTGGAAAAGGCGTATGACAGGGTGGGATAGGGGGGCAATGTGGCAGATGTTGCAAGTGTAGGGTGTAGGAGGTAGGTTACGGGAAAGCAGTGAAGAGTTTTTACGAGGATAGTGAGGCTCAAGTTAGAGTATGTAGGAAAGAGGGAAATTTTTTCCCAGTAAAAGTAGGCCTTAGACAAGGATGGTGATGTCACCGTGGTTGTTTAATATATTTATAGATGGGGTTGTAAGAGAAGTAAATGCGAGGGTCTTGGCAAGAGGCGTGGAGTTAAAAGATAAAGAATCACACACAAAGTGGGGGTTGTCACAGCTGCTCTTTGCTGATGACACTGTGCTCTTGGGAGATTCTAAGAGAAGTTGCAGAGATTGGTGGATGAATTTGGTAGGGTTTTGCAAAAGAAGAAAATTAAAGGTGAATACAGGAAAGAGTAAGGTTATGAGGATAACAAAAAGATTAGGTGATGAAAGATTGAATAAACAGATTGGAGGGAGAGAGTATGGAGGAGGTGAACGTATTTTAGATATTTGGGAGTGGACGTGTCCCGCGGATGGGTCTATGAAAGATGAGGTGAATCATAGAATTGATGAGGGAAAAAAAGAGTGAGTGGTGCACTTAGGAGTCTGTGGAGACAAAGAACTTTGTCCTTGGAGGCAAAGAGGGGAATGTATGAGAGTAAGTTTTACCAACGCTCTTATATGGGTGTGAAGCGTGGGTGATGAATGTTGCAGCGAGGAGAAGCTGGAGGCAGTGGGAGATGTCATGTCTGAGGGCAAAAGTGTGGTGTGAATATAATGCAGAGAATTCGTAGTTTGGAAGTTAGGAGGAGGTGCGGGATTACCAAAACTGTTGTCCAAGGGCTGAGGAAGGGTTGTTGAGGTGGTTCGGACATGTAGGGGAGAATGGACGAAACAGAATGACTTCAAGAGTGTATCAGTCTGTTTGTGGAAGGAAGGCGGGGTAGGGGTCGGTAGGAAGGGTTGGAGGGAGGGGGTAAGGAGGTTTTTGTGTGCGAGGGGCTTGGACTCCAGCAGGGATGCTTGAGCGTGTTTGATAGGAGTGAATGGAGACAAATGGTTTTTAATACTTGACGTGCTGTTGGAGTGTGAGCAAAGTAACATTTATGAAGGATTCGGGAAAACCGGCAGCCGGGCTTGAGTCCCGAGATGGGAATACAGTGCCCCCTCTGAAGGAGGGGGGTTTAATGTTGCGTTTTAAAAAAGTGTTAAAGCACCTTTGGCAAGACAGTGATGGAGTGAATGATGGTGAAAGTTTTTCTTTTTGGGCCACCCCTGCCTGGGGGGAAATCGGCCGGTGTGATAATAAAAAAAAAAAAAAAATAATATATATATATAAATTTTATTTATATATATATATATATATATATTATATATATTATATAATTGCGCAAGCATATATTTGGAGTTTTAAAGAAATTTGAATATACAGTTATTTATGTTCGTATATTTGAACAGTTGGCTCTTGTGTTATTTGGGGCAGAAATCGTAATTAAACATAAAAAAAATTTTTTTTAAATCCATTTTTTTAATTTTAACTTTAAAAAATTGTTAGTATGAGAACTTTTTAAACTTTACCATTACTATATTTTAAATATTTGCTACATGTTATATACCCCAAGAGTGAAACCTTTGTAAAATAAATAAATTAAAATTTTTCGTGGGGGAAAAAAACACCACGCGGTTTTAATTAAATAGTTTTAAAATCCACTCGTTAATCCCCCGTTTTTTTTATGGTTGAAAACCTTAATTATAATAATGAATTGCCAACCCCCCAAAAAAACCCCATGCAGTCTAAGGCATTTAACCCAATGAGGTAAACCCAAAGGAAAAAGTCACTTTTCCTTTTTTTTGGGGGTTTTCCCTAGGTAATTTGCAATGTTCCCTGTATGATAATTTTACTATATGTCCTTACCCATATAAGGGTTTTTGTAATTTGGGGGGTTACCAGGGAAAATTTTAAATTAATATGTAGATGATTGTACTTATTGTCCGTGTCAAATAAACTTTTCTTTCTTCCATCATTGGGTGAAAATTCCAAGCATGGGCCATACCGGGCTCTGGAGAACTGGAACTAAGGGGATGATAGTGATGGAAGCCACAACCCAGCACCCCCACCACCTCCCTACAACACGCCCACGTGCCTACCTTTTTCATCCTTCCCAGCAATCTTACAGCCTCCATCTATCCGCTGGCAACATCCTCCTATGCCACCACCCCCAATGTCCCCAGTGTCTCCGCCATCCCCAAACTCTAATGTCCCTCCTTTCCCCTGGAATTTTTAATTTCTGATGTTCGCCTTGAAGACATTGAGTTGATGATAGACAGCGACTACTCTGGAGAACTGCGACCCTCTATGGAAAATGCTATTGAGCGAAAATGGTCGAGGATTGTTGGACCTGAATTTGAGATTGTGGTAAGTCAGAATTTAAATAACAATTGCAGTTAGTCTGCCACTGCCACACTTGTGACTGCAAAAGTTGCAGAATAAACTTTTATTTGAATAGCTCTTTGCAGTAAAGACATTATCCTGGAAGGCCAAATCGGCCAGGATTGTTGAGGTGTGAAAGTCGTGGGTTCAGGGTGATGGTGCAATTTGTTCAGTAGTACAGCAGGTCTATTGATCAGTGCTAGGTTTGGAATATTCCCTAATTGCATAGGAACATAATGAATACTGCAGTACACCTATTGGCCCATGCTAGGCAACTCCAACTCACACCACTTATATACCCATCCAACCTATATTTAAAGTTTGTCCAAGTTATCGTTTCAGTGGTGCTTCCTGAGGTTCCACTTATCTACAACCCTATTGCCAAACCAGTACTTCCATATATCCTTTCTAAATGTAAATTCATCCAACTTGAATCCATTGCTGCGACTTCTGTCTTGGTTTCTTTCATCACATTATTTATATCTCCTTTATTTGTTCCTGTTTTCTATTTGTACACTTAAGTCGTTGTCCCCCCCCCTCCAGTTCTTTAACTTTTCAGAGTGCAAATTCAGTGCCTTCAGCCTTTCTTAATGTGGAGACCAGAACTGAGCAGCGTAATCTAAATGAGACCTTACCAAGGATATATGAAGTTGAAGTATAACATTAGGCCTCTTATTACATATTCTCCTTGGTATGAAACCAAGAATCCCATTAACATTATTTTGCACTCTTGTCATGGCTTTATCCCTTGTGGTTTAGCGCTTCTTTTTTATTATAATAATAATAATAATAATAATAATGTCATGGCTTTAAATTTGTTAGCCAGAACTCGTAAATCTCTCTCGCATTCAGTTTGACCGAGGTCTATATTACTGAGCTTAAAGGTACTATAGTTATTTTCTATTTCTAGGTTTAGAATCTTACATTTCTCTGCATTAAGCTGCATCTGCCACATCTCCAGTCACATAATCAACCTATCAAAATCATCCAATAACTTTCTAGTATCCTCATCAGAAATTATTTTACAATCTGTTTTGTTGTCATCAGCAAACTTATTTACATCACTATTCCCTCATCTATATCGTTTATGTAAATTATGAATAACACCACTTGTAATGGTCCCCATTTTGATTTCTCATTTATGTACACTGTTGCCTATTGGCCAGCCATAGCTTTACCCAGGAGATGATTTCTCCTGTATTATGTATCACTACCTCCTTCATCAGTCTCCTCTTGGGACTCTATGCAAGGCCTTATGTAGGCCATATGCACAACATCGTATTCTTTATCTTGATTTGCTGTAAATTCATAAGGCAAGAATGCCACTTTGTAAAACCATGTTGAGATTCAGTGATCACATTATATTATTGATTCCACAAACTTTCCCTCAATTGAGGTTATGCTGATTAGTCTGTAATTTGAAGATAAGGACCTATCTCTTGCCTTGTAAATAAGTATCACATTTGCTTTTTTCACTTATCCAGCATGAAAATTGGGGACCCTAACTCATCCTTATTGAGGTAATCCTACTGAGATATTGAAATTAAGTGATTTATGATCGTTTTCTCTGAACTCTTTATTAACTTCAAGATTTTTAATGGCAATTAGGCCTGCTACATTGCTCCTCTAGTTGCACTGTTGACCTAGGAACCTGACCTACAATTTTTGCATCTCATCTCTGATTGCAGATTGTGTGATCAAGCTTCACAACGTACATCACCTACTTTTACCTTGCATTCCAGAAGTACTTAGACATGTTAGTTGTAACATCTATGTGACTTGATAAAACTCTACACAGAGCAAAACCCTGGTCCAATTTTATTCTGCAGCTTTGGTCTGTCTTTATACAATACTCATTAGCAATGAAAGAAGTCATCATACCATGTCTGGAAAAATTAATAAGCCACACTTGGGAAGAAATTTTGGATTACATATTGGTCTGTGCTTGACAGTTATCAACTCACAACTGAGGAAGAGAAAACAGAAAAGACCAGAAGACAGATTAGGAAGTGGGAGGGAATAGTAGCAGTAATAATGTTAACGGTAGTAGTGGTAGAAATAGTAGTGTAATAATATGGTTAATTTAAGTAATCATGCATTATCCAGCAATCTTTTATTCAGCTTTCACCATTATCCAGCTGTCTTGTTTGCTTTAATTTGATGTGGTGCAAGACACAAGGATTTCATTCAAAATGTACTCATTGGATTTCCTTTGCTCAACTCTCTTTTCCTCTTTTTAAGTCTTTCATGTGAATGTCAGTATAAACCATATTTAGAGGGATATTTAAAATCAAGCTAGGTGTTCATTTTTCTTTTTTTGATTTGGCACTTGAAATTCAAATTGAAAATGAACCATAAAATTATGTTCAATATATGCTCATAGAATTTTCTATGCCCAAACCTGTTTTCTCCCTTTAAAGTAGTTCATATGGATGCCAGTATAAACTAATTGAGAGTGATATGTAAAGAGATACTGTTAAATAACAGCAGATGTGAGAAGGCGAGAAAAACTGTGTCTATAGGGAAAGCAAAGTACTATAGAAGTCTTTACAGAAATGGGTTTAAAGAGATAGAATCCACTTAGCATGGAACTAGGCTTTGTTTATGAAATTGGAATTACGTAGTTGCAAATTCAGTGGACCCCCGGTTATTGTATTTAATCCATTCCAGAGAGTGTGACTAAAACCGAATTTGACGATTTCCAAATTCATTTTCCCCATAAGAAATAATGTAAATCCAATTAATCCGTTCCAGACGCCCGAAAGTATTAAAAAAAAAATAAGTTTATTACATGAAATATACATTTACCTACACAGAAAACAATGAGACATAAAGAATAAAACAATAATAACATGACACTTACCTTTATTGAAGACTCTTCTTAGTGTATTGAAGACGGGAGGAGGGGAGAGGATGGAGATATTACTGTTTGGAAGGGGAATCCCCTTCCATAAAGACTTCAGGTACCAAGTCCTTTTCTGGGGTTACTTCCCTTCTTTGTTTTTTAATGCCACTAGGACCAGCTTGAGTCACTGGACCCCTGTTGCTCAAAAAAGTGTTTCAGAGAGGTCTGTTTCTGGCATATGTTAGGAATTGTGGCGGTGGCAGGGGAGGGTGTTTGGAGTCGTGACAAGATAGTCCTTCAATATGACACTAATATCAACTCTACAGCTTATTTATCTAATATGACATAATAAACAATATTAATAACATAGAAACATGATATATACCCTAGAATGAATAAAATGCCATTACGTATATGACGAGTGGTGTTGTGTTGTTTGTTGTTGGGTGTATAAGGGACTGAAAGATAAACCTTACTTAGTGGTGGTGATGGCGGAAGCAGAGACGGCGGTGTTGTCAGTCGCCTTGTATAACTCAACAAACCATACCATGGGCGGGGTTAGAACTTGTAATCAGAGAGTCTCAAAACTCCAGACTGTCGCGTTAGCCACTGGGCCAGCTAGCCACAATAAGATTCATCCAACTAGGTATATTTATACACCATAGGAAGGTTAGCATAGGCACCATTGTGATCACAAATGCAAATTTTTACAGACGAATCTCCAGCTAGCGTGGCTGTGACAAACTTTAGGTCAAGTCCCCTCAAAGCCATCAGCATGACTCACGAAATCGTAATGACATGATTGCAAACAAACCATACCACAGGTGGGGTTAGAACCCGCGAGTTTTGAGACTGATTGCGGGTTCTAACCCCACCCATGGTATGATTTGTTTGCAATCGTGTCATTACGATTTCATGAGTCATGTCAACTCCAACAACAATTGGAAGAGTCAGTTTCATGCTGTCCTTTTTCTATCGATTAATCACTTACTTGCTATGCTGTTAATGCTATGCTTTATCGCTGGCTGGTGCTATAGCCTTTATCGACTCCTGCTGCTTTAGTATCGTACATATCACAGAATCACTGAAGAGGGCACATTCTCCCCTCTATCTCAGCCCTTTACCAAAGGGCTGGCTGGCACTAGGAACTTTCTTTTGGCTCATGGTGGCTTAGCAGTTGCAAGCACTAAAACGAATGGAATATTACGAAATGTATTGTATGAATGCGTGGGGTGATGGTCACTCGCTGATAAACAATGGCAGACTGACTGTGAATGGTGTGGAATGGTGTGTGGGCCACTTGTATGAGTTAAGGACGAATGACTATTACCAAGGTAAATGACGATCACCGAGCCAATATTTTGATGAAAAAAACCTTACGATTACCGAATATTATGAAATCTGACGACTATGCTATCCAAGGGTCCACTGTAATGGAAATTTCAAAGTTTAGAAATTGAGGATCACGAATGCAAAGAGCATGGAGAAATAGGGAAACGGGGCACTTTACTTAACAGGTGTATGGTAAGAAAAGCAGTCAGTGTATGTCATTGTGTATAGGCTTGTGGTAGACAGAGAAAAAATTAAAAATATATTACAGAGCAATGGACATAAGCATCAATGAAAGGAAACAATGAGTTTGATTCCCATTCTACTTTGAACTTGATATATGGAGCAAGATCATTAAGGGCAGCAAGAAAGGGTTGAAAGAGACTGTTCATATGACCAGACAGCAAAGATATTGTTTACATAATAAAGTGAGAAAAAAGAATAGCTACCCCAACACATGTACTAGGAAGTAGAATGGTATCAATATACTCCATATTTTGGTCTTATCTGCTTTTTCCTTGAGTTGCGACTTGTGTTTAGTTTAATCTCTATTTGTGGGTCATTTATGAATTGTCAGCAACATGCAGTGTACAGTAGTGAGTTACAATATACAGTGGACCCCCGGTTAACGAACTTTTTTCATTCCAGTAGTATGTTCAGGTGCCAGTACTGACCGAATTTTTTCCCATAAGGAATATTGTGAAGTAGATTAGTCCATTTCACACCTCCAAACATACACGTACAAACGCACTTACATAAATACACTTACATAATTGGTCGCATTTGGAGGTGATCGTTAAGCGGGGGTCCACTGTACTGTATCTTATTACGTATCTGTAACTCAAATGGTTGAAGATTGCTAGACTTGAGTTTTAGATTGTAATTTAAGTATGGATGCTTAAGTAACAGTGATCTCCCATGACGGCTATGCCTGACAATCTCTTGCTGCCACATTTTCTTTGAGCTCCTACCTATTGTCCAGAGAATTTTTCATTATTTTCTTTACCACATCAACCCTTTTTAACTATCTTATATAAATTTATGACCGCTGCTGAAATAAGCATTACTTTTTTTTTTTAAGCATTTTGACCTTATAAGTTACTTTACGAAGTGTAAAATTGATTTTACTTTGATCTGGGGTCTATCTTGCATATTTGGATAAACAGTATTACTATACATTGCCTGAACTGTGTGTTGAGGAATTTGTGAAGTAGGGGGCTAAGGTAATACTATGAAGAAAGAGGTATGGTATTTATTATCACAATGTAACTCATCATAAATAATGTAATCAGTGTGAAAATTCAAATTTTTTTTTTTTTAACTACCTAGGTAAACAGTCCCTAAGAGAAAATAAATTTTAACAAACTCAAAATATACCTTTCTCAGGTTGCCCAGTTAAGCAAGTTTGAAGAAGGAGGTGGACTGGGCATCAGTCTGGAAGGAACAGTGGATGTAGAGGGTGGAAGAGAAGTTCGTCCTCACCACTACATCCGCTCCATCCTACCTGATGGTCCGGTAGGGAAGAATGGACGTCTGTGCAGCGGTGACGAGCTTCTTGAGGTATCATTTATATCTTTGTTTCTGTACAGTATTACCGCATAATTAGTAATAATAGTAGAATTACCGACAGAATGTTAGGTAAATGGACACAGATGCAACTAATGTTACATTTTATTGTGGCAACATTTAGCTCTCCAGGAGCTTTATCAAGCTGTGTCCATTTACCTTACTGCATAATGTCTGGACAGATTGTATACTACTGTAGTCTATTATGAGACTTTCTGCTTAGCAAAATAAATATAGGATGCAAGTGGCTATTGGAATGTGAGCATAACTGCTTAGTGTTTATTTTGGATTCTTAGGGTCCCCCTCACAACTTGATGAGAGTTCAAAAAAAGACTGAAACTTGTCATAATGTAGTTTCATTTTAGATTTGTAGGTTACAGTATAACAGTGAACCCTCTCATTAGCAGACTAATAAGGGGAAGGGAGTGTACGATATTGCTAATTGTCTGAAACTTCCAAATTGTGAAATTAATTTTTCACTGTTATTCGGTTGTCTTCTGAGCTCACTTGGTCTGCTAATACAGAGGACAACTGGACACTAAAAATACAGGCATTGTAACCTTTAGCACTACAGTACGGCAGTGGCGTTGCTAGGGTTGGTGTCACCCAGGGCGGCATCTTTGGTGTCACCCCCATGAAATCCGAGTGGGGGGGATAGGGGGAGTAAACTCTAGTTACATCACTACTGCATACCCAGTGACTAATGTTCAGCAATGAGAACAGGCCCGGTGGCCTGGTGGCTAAAGCTCCCGCTTCACACACGGAGGGCCCGGGTTCGATTCCCGGCGGGTGGAAACATTTCGACACGTTTCCTTACACCTGTTGTCCTGTTCACCTAGCAGCAAATAGGTACCTGGGTGTTAGTCGACTGGTGTGGGTCGCATCCTGGGGGACAAGATTAAGGACCCCAATGGAAATAAGTTAGACAGTCCTCGATGATGCACTGACTTTCTTGGGTTATCCTGGGTGGCTAACCCCCCGGGGTTAAAAATCCGAACGAAATCTTATCTTATCTTATCTAACCATAAACCAAACTGGAGAGTACTTCTCAACTTCATTAATGATAAAATAATCGTAGTAATATTGAGGAAACATAAACTCAAATGCCACTTTGAGTACAGCCAACAGATTCTACATTTATTCATCTTCATGTGAAAAAAAAAACTTGAAAAATAAAGAAAAATATTGCAGTATCAGAAACACTAGTTCTGATATAACCTTGAGTACAGGTAACATCTCAATGAATCTGATCTTACATTTCCTTGCCTTCAGCCCTGCAAAATCATCTATCATATCATCAGAATCAATGATTTCCCCCATATAGGCCTATTTTTTACTCTGTAATCATATATTAGGCTATATAAAAATGGATAACTAATTAATAGTTAATGTAAAAAATAAAGAACACAGTAAAACCTCTCATTAACAGATTTCGGGAATTTCAGACAAAATAGTTGGCTGGACAAACACTGAAAGCATCAGACAAAATGGAAAAAAGTCCGTAATTCCAGATTTTTTCCATAGTGATAGTGCCCAGTTGTCTTCTAAGTTATCGGACCAAGCCCCACGATTCCAATATTTGTCATGTCCAGGATATGTCTGCTTTCATTGTAACCAGAGCCATTGGCCACCTACACCAGTTTATTATCTGTGCTGACTCATGCACACACTCGTCATTCAGTCTAATTTTTTCCTGGCTTTAAAGAATTCTGTGTGACTTTATTAACAATGACTTCTTAGGCAAGTAGTGGTTCCAAGGCAAAATGTGTGGGTCTCAGTGTTAAGCAAAAACTTGAACTGATAAGAAAGGTTGAGCGCATCTCGGTGACACAGGCATGTGTGGAATATAGTAGTACGTATTAAGAAACAGTGTCTGATATCTGTAAAAGCAAGATCAAACTACAACACATGGGAGAGGCTGCAGAGTATATCTGGTTGCCATAATCTAGTTTCGGTAAGATTAGGGCAGAATCACGCTGAAGGAGAGTTCACTGAATGACCCCAAAGAAAGATGAGCGAGGATTTTAAGGGGGTACAGTCGCTAGTATAGCTTTACAGCTCTTTTTCACTCAGAATAAAAGTTGTTGTGAATCACCATTATTAATCATGGCAGTTTGCACCTCATCTCTCACCATGAAAAGGTGTGTAAAATTATACTGTAAAGTACATAAAGTACTATAAAATTACCATACAGCACAGAACTGTACTTGCAGTGGCGACACTAATGCCCAAAACAGTGCTGCAAAAACAAAGGATTTTTCTCTTATGTTGCTACAGCACTCTTTTGGGCATTAGTGTCACCCTCTTTAGAGGCTCTGATAGTGTCACCCCTTGATTGTGTCAACCGGGGCACCCCCCTCCCTTATGATGCCACTGCAAGTACAGTTCTGTGCTGTATGGTAATTTTATAGTACTTTATGTACTTTACAGTATAATTTTACACACCTTTTCATGGTGAGAGATGAGGTGCAAACTGCCATGATTAATAATGGTGATTCACAACAACTTTTATTCTGAGTGAAAAGAGCTGTAAAGCTATACTAGCAACTGTACCCCCTTAAAATCCTCGCTCATCTTTCTTTGGGGTCATTCAATGAACTCTCCTTCAGCGTGATTCTGCCCTAATCTTACCGAAATTAGATTATGGCAACCAGATATACTCTGCAGCCTCTCCCATGTGTTGTAGTTTGATCTTGCTTTTACAGATATCAGACACTGTTTCTTAATACTACTATATTCCACACATGCCTGAGTCACCAAGACACGCTCAACCTTTTTTATCAGTTCAAGTTTTTGCTTAACACTGAGACCCACACATTTTGCCTTGGAACCACTACTTGCCTAAGAAGTCATTGTTAATAAAGTCACACAGAATTCTTTAAAGCCAGGAAAAAATTAGACTGAATGACGAGTGTATGCATGAGTCAGCACAGATAATAAACTGGTGTAGGTGGCCAATGGCTCTGGTTACTATGAAAGCAGACATATCCTGGACATGACAAATATTGGAATCGTGGGGCTTGGTCCGATAACTTAGAAGACAACTGGGCACTATCACTATGGAAAAAATCTGGAATTACGGACTTTTTTCCATTTTGTCTGATGCTTTCAGTGTTTGACCAGCCAACTATTTTGTCTGAAATTCCTGAAATCTGTTAATGAGAGGTTTTACTGTGTTCTTTAATTTTTACATTAACTATTAATTAGTTATCCATTTACACTGAATAAAGAAGACATGGTTTGTGAATTTACATGGCTAATAAAACTATTATATCAGTGATGGAAATTTGATTAAATTTTAACAAATTTATAGAACCCATTCATTCAAGATAATGTAAAGTACAGCAGTATTGTATCTGACTGTGGTGTCGCTTCCAGGTTAATGGACAGAAGCTACTTGGTCTGAATCATGTGGAAGTTGTTGGCATCCTAAAGGAGCTCCCTCGATATGTGCGTCTAGTTTGTGGTCGTCGAGCTCCAGGAGCTCCCCCGCCTCTACACCCTATTGATGCGCCCACAGCAGATCGTGATGCCTTCGCTGCAAGGGTAAGCAATTTTATGTTTCTTTCTTGCATTAATATTTCTGTCATTGCATGTGAATGTTTTGTTTTTGGTGCTCTTATGTTTATTTTTAATGTTTTAAATGTCCAAAATTATAGAAATTAATCAAAGCCCATAATAGTTTCTGTGCACTGTTTCTAACAAACTATGATAGGCATGACTGCCACTTCCTGTGTAGTTGTGCTTCCATATGTCTTCCCATCTTCTAAGGATACTCATCTTTTAAGGCATTTTGGGTTCTCACTGTGATTAAAGTTCTATTCTCATATCAGACACCATTCAGGATGGTGAGAGAGAGAATTATAGAGGCCAGAGAAAGTTTGTTTGCATGGAGGAGCAAGGAGAATCACCATTAGACTCCTCAGTAACAACTGCCTTTCCCTGTTACTAGCATGTCTATTCACAAAAGAGCAACTGCCTTCCCTTGTTATCAACATGTCTACTCACAAACTGCCTTTCCCCTGTTACTAACATATTTACTTGCAAAAAAACAAGATGCACTAACTGATAACCTATGCTGCATTATAAAATTCATTTTTTTTTAATTATGATCTTCCTTTTGTCTGTTTTCTTCTAGATTGCCTGTTTTTCTCTGACTTAAGTTTCATCACCTCCAACAAAAGATTTCAGTGCTGTAGTACAGTAGGACCCCCGTTACTGGCAGGGATACGTTCCAAGGACCTGCCATCATTACTGAAACCATGGATAGTAGTAAACCCTGTATATAAGTCCAGTACATACCTATTATAAAGTTTAATTGATAAATTGTGTACAATAAGTGAAGAATTATCACTTTTTCACGGATGGGAAGCACTTCACAGCTTCTCTTAGGCTTCAAAGAACTGCCAACTTCTCTACTTCTGTGTTTTGGGACCATTATCATGCAAAATTAAGTGGTATTTTTGGGCCACAATAAGCCTTGGATAACTGAAACTACGGATACCGAATCATTGGATATGAGGGGTTCTACTGTATTAAATTTTTTGAACATTTTGAATAATATATATAAATATAATATTAACACATTGGCCGATTCCCACCAAGGCAGGGTGACCCAAAAAAGAAAAACTTTCATCATCAGGGGTGCTTTATACTACAGTCATAAAACTGCAACATTAACACCCCTCATTCAGAGTGCAGACGCTGTACTTCCCATCTCCAGGACTCAAGTCCGGCCTGCTGGTTTCCCTGAATCCCTTCATAAATGATACTTTGCTCATACTCCAACAGCACGTCAAGTATTAAAAGCCATTTGTCTCCATTCTTTCTTCTTTTAAATACACTCACGCATGCTTGCTGGAAGTCCAAGCCCTCGCACACAGAATCTCCTTTACCCCCTCCCTCCGACCTTTCCTAGACCGATCCCTACCCTGCCTTCCCTCTACTACAGATTTATACACTCTCTTGAAATCATTCTGTTTCATTCCATTCTCTCTACATGTCCGAACCACCTCAACAACCCTTCCTCAGCCCTCTGGACAACAGTTTTGACAATCCCGCACCTCCTCCTAACTTCCAAACCACGAATTCTCTTCATTACATTCACACCACACATTGCCCTCAGACATGACATCTCCACTGCCTCCAGCCTTCTTCTCACTGCAACATTCATCACCCATGCTTCACACCCATATAAGAGCATTGGTAAAACTATATTCTCATACATTCCCCTCTTTGTTTCCAAGGACAAAGTTCTTTGTCTCCACAGACTCCTAAGTGCACCACTCACCCTTTTCCCCCATCAATTCTATGATTCGCCTTATCTTTCATAGACCCATCTACTGACACATCCAATCCCAAATATCTGGAGTTTACCTGGAGAGAGTTCCGGGGGTCAACGCCCCCGCGGCCCGGTCTGTGACCAGGCCGCCTGGTGGATCAGAGCCTGATCAACCAGGCTGTTGCTGCTGGCTGCACGCAAACCAACGTATGAGCCACAGCCCGGCTGATCAGGAACTGACTTTAGGTGCTTGTCCAGTGCCAGCTTGAAGACTGCCAGGGGTCTGTTGGTAATCCCCCTTATGTGTGCTGGGAGGCAGTTGAACAGTCTCTGGCCCCTGACACTTATTGTATGGTCTCTTAACGTGCTAGTGACACCCCTGTTTTTTCATTGGGGGGATGGTGCATCGTCTCCCAAAGTTTTTGCTTTCGTAGTGAGTGTTTTTTCGGTGCAATTTCGGTATACCCCTCTAGGATTTTCCAGGGTGATAATCATGTTCTCTCCCCCCTGCGTTCAGGGAAAAGGTTTAGGAACCTCAAGCGCCCCCGTAATTGAGGTGTTTTTCTCCTTATGCGCGCCTGAAAGTTCCTGTACATTTTTAGGTCGGAAATTTCCCCTCCCCTTGAAAGGTGCTGTTAGTGTGCAGCAATATTCCAGCCAAATAGAAAAAGTGACCTGAAGAGTTCATCATGGGTTGGCCTCCTAGTTTTGAAGGTTTCATTACCCTCCTGTCATTTTTTCTAGCAGATGCGATTGATACAAGTTAGGTCCTTGAAGGTAGACCCCCAACGATCCTCCCAGGTTTTTGATTTTGGTGTTTCGCTCTATTTTGGGGCCCAAAAATTTTGTTTGTACTTGTAAAGATTAATTTTCCCTCATGTTTACATATCTGGTAATTAAAATTTTCATCGTTGAATTCATTTTGTTTTCTGCAGCCCACTGAAAGTTTTGGTTGATGTCGCCTGGAGCCTTGCGTGTGTGAAAAGGAAGACACGTCTGCATTTTCGGGTGTCATCTGAAAGGGAAGACCGGTGTGTGGTGAAAAACCCTTTGTCTATGTCGGATATGGGATGAGGAACAAGATGGGAGCGAGTACTGTGCCTTGTGGAACAGAGCTTTTCCCCGTAGCTCCCTCGGACTTTACTCTGTTGACGACTACTCTGTGTTCTGTTAGTGAGGAAATTATAGATCCATCGACGATTTTTCGGGTTTTTCCCTTTAGAAACACATTTGTGCGCTATTACGCCATGGTCACACTTGTCGAAGGCTTTTGCAAAGTCTGTATATATTACATCTGATTCTTTTTGTTTCTAGTGCATTTAGGACCTTGTCGTAGTGATCCAATAGTTGAGACAGACAGGAGCGACCTGTTCTAAACCCATGTTGCCCTGGGTTGTGTAACTGATGGGTTTCTAGATGGATGGTGATCTTGCTTTTAGGACCCTTTCAAAGATTTTTATGATAATGGGATGTTAGTGCTATTGGTCTGTAGTTCTTTGCTTTGCTTTACTGCCCCTTTGTGGAGTGGGGCTATGTCTGTTGTTTTTGTAACTGTGGGAGGACCCCCGTGTCCTTTGCTCCCTCCCCATGGAGGGAAAAAGGCTCGTGATAGGGGCTTCTTGCAGTTCTTGATGAACACAGGGGTTCCATGAGTCGGGCCCCTGGGGCAGAGTGCATGGGCATGTCATTTATCGCCTGTTCGAAGTCATTTGGCGTCAGGATAACATCGGATGGCTTGTGTTAATCAAATTTTGTGGCTCTCTCAAAAAAAAATTCATTTTGATCTTCGACTCTCAGTCTGGTTAGCGGCTTGCTAAAAACTGGTCATATTGGGACTTAAGTGCTCACTCATTTCCTTGCTGCATCTGTGTAGGACCCATCTTGTTTAAGTAGGGGCCCAATACTGGACGTTGTTCTCGATTTTGATTTGGCATAGGAGAAGAAATACTTTGGGTTTCTTTCGATTTCTTTTATGGCTTTTAGTTCTTCCCGCGATTCCTGACTCCTAAAGGATTCTTTTAGCAAAGTTCGTTTGCTTGTTTATTTCTCTGACCAGTGTCTCCCTACGCATTTCAGATATATTGACCTCTTTTAAACCGTCTGTTACTCTTTTCCGTCGCCTGTAAAGGGAGCGCCTGTCTCTTTTATTTTTTCATCTACTCCTCCTTTTTCTTAGAGGAATAAGGCTTGTGCATACATCGAGTGCCACCGAGTTAATCTGTTCTAGGGATAAGTTTGGGGGCTGTGCTGCTTAGTATATCTTCCCAGCTTATATCGGTTAGGACTTGGTTTACTTGGTCCCACTTTATGTTTCTGTTATTGAAGTTGAATTGGTGAATGCTCCCTCGTGACTAGTCTCATTATGTCGGTCTGGGGCTCCACGCATACATGTCTGAACCTCAATTATGTTGTGATCTGAGTATATTGTTTTTGATATGGTGACATTTCTTATCAGATCATCATTGTTAGTGAAGATGAGATCTTAGTGTATTCTCCAGTCTAGTAGGCTCTATTATTTGCTGGTTTAAATTGAATTTTGTGCAGAGATTTAAAAGCTCGTGTGAGTGTGAGTTTTCATCAGAGCTGCCTCCTGGTGTTATTACTGCAACAATATTATTTGCTATATTCCTCCATTTTAGGTGCCTTAAGTTGAAATCCCCCAGGAGCAAAATGTTGGGTGCAGGAGCTGGAAGATTTTCCAGACAGTGGTCAATTTTTAACAGCTGTTCCTGGAATTGCTGGGATGTTGCATCCGGAGGCTTGTAGACACCACAATGACTAGGTTTTGGTTCTCGACCTTTACTGCTAAAACTTCCACTACATCATTTGAGGCATTAAGCAGTTCTGTGCAAACAAGTGACTCTGCAATGTACAGGCCAACCCCCCCTTTTGCCTGTTCACTCTGTCACATCTGTATAGGTTGTAACCTGGGATCCATATTTCGTTGTCCAAGTGATCCTTTATGTGGGTCTCAGTGAAAGCGCGAACATTGCCTTTGCCTCTGCAAGCAGTCCACGGATGAAAGGTATTTTGTTGTTTGTTGTGGCTTCAGACCCTGTATATTTGCAAAGAAGAATGTTATCGGACTGGTGGTATTGTTGGTACTGGGGGGGGGATTTTTTTTTCCGGCAATTAGTATCTGTATCTGTTGGTTTGGAGTGGAGGCCATCGACTGTGGTTCCACTCCAGGAATGACTGGATTTGGTGTACGATTTCTGCCATTTCCTGCCAGTTTTTTTTCCTTCCTGGCACTAAAAAACCTCTCCCTCTTGAGTGGCTGTGGCTACCCAGGTTTTCCCATGGCCTGGATGTTTTGTATCTTTTTGTCCCCTTTAGATGGTATGCCTGGCAATTTAAGTTATAGCACAGTCTTTCCTGTACTGAAGAGGTACACAGTTCAGGGTGAAAAAGCTTACAGGAAGGGAGTTTGCATTTTCCTGTTGTCATATGGGCATGACATTTTCTAGGGTGGTCATAGTTGCACATCCCATCTGTTTTTCCAAATTTCCCATGCCAGCAGATACCAAGTGCATAGTATGTGCACAGCATTACATTCACCACCTCCATACTCTCCCTCCAATCTGATATCCAGTCATTCATCACCTAATCTTTTTGTTATCCTCATAACCTTACTCTTCCCTATATTCACTGTCAGTTTTTTTCTTCTACATACCCTACCAAATTCATCCACCAACCTCTGCAACTTCTCTTTAGAATCTCCCAAGAGCAGTGTCATCAGCAAAAAAGCAACTATGACAACTCCCACTTCGTGTTTGATTCTTTATCTTTTAACTCCACACCTCTTGCCAAGACCCTAGCATTCATTTCTCTTATAACCCCATTTATAAATATATTGAACATCCACAGTGACATCACACATCCTTGTCTAAGACCTACTTTTACTGGGAGATAATCTCCCTCTTTCCTACATGCTCTAACCTGAGCCTCGCTATCCTCGTAAAAACTCTTCACTGCTTTCAGTAAGCTACCTCCTATACCATACACCTGCAACATCTGCCACATTGCCCCCCTATCCACCCTGTCATATGCCTTTTCCAAATCCATAATTGCCACAAAAACCTCTTTAGCCTTATCTAAATACTGTTCACCTATATGTTTCACTGTAAACACTTGGTCTACACACCCCTTACCTTTCCTAAAGCCTCCTTGTTCATCTGCTATCCTACTCTCCGTCCTTCTCTTAATTCTTTCAATAATAACTCTACCATTCACTTTACCAGGTATACTCAACAGATTTTTTTTTCAACAAACTGGCCGTATCCCACCAAGGCAGGGTGGCCCAAAAAGAAAAGCGAAAGTTTCTCTTTTTAAATTTAGTAATTTATACAGGAGAAGGGGTTACTAGGTCCTTTCTCCCAGCATTTTAGTTGCCTCTTACAACACGCATGGCTTACGGAGGAAGAATTCTGTTCCACTTACCCATGGAGATAAGAGGAAATAAACAAGAACAAGAACTATGAAGAAAATAGAAGAAAACCCAGAGGGGTGTGTGTATACATATGCTTGTACATGTATGTGTAGTGTGACCTAAGTGTAAGTAGAAGTAGCAAGACGTACCTGAAATCTTTCACGTTTATGAGACAGAAAAAAGACACCAGCAATCCTACCATCATGTAAAACAATTACAGGTTTTTGTTTTACACTCACTTAGCAGGGCAGTAATACCTCCCTGGGCAGTTGCTGTCTACCAACCTGCTACCTACAACTCAACAGACTTCTCCCCTTATAATTTTTGCACTCTCTTTTGTCCCCTTTGCCTTTATACAAAGGAACTTTGCACGCTGTCTGCCATAATATAGTATTTATTTAAACATATATTCCACACATTGGAGAATGAAACTTAATAACAGTATTTTTTTTTGACTTGGTCCAGGTCCATGGTCCAAGTCAGACCGTAACATCATCATAATTTTCATTCTCCTGTGTGTGAATTATTTGTGTATTGTTCCAGTCACGGTATTGTGCCTTTATATTCTTTAGTTGTTACTCTATATTTGTATATTTTATATTGAATATCTCATTAAAAACTTAAGGAATTTCTCTTACTCATTCAGTATGATGCATCATATTATATATTTTGAGCCCCCTAATGTATTAAGGTTTCGTTCATAGAAGTCTAATATATCAGGGATTTGTGAAAGCCAGTAATATAAAATTCTGCCTTACGTTAAATTTTGTTTCATTTTTGGGCTTATTTTATGTTTCTAACCATATCTCAATAAATATTGCTATAATCTTTATATTTATAGTATTCATTAATAAATTGGTTAGGAAAGAGGTTTTTGGATGGGGGAAATAATTTTCAGCAAAATCTTAAGTTTAGGAGCATTTGAAAAATGCATAGGTTTTCTGGTTTATGGAAAAATTGACAAATACTACAAGCCATTTGCAAGATGCCCTTCATTAAAAAATAGCTGATTTGAATCATGCAAATTATAAGTCTCATTAATGTTGGGATTCAGCTGTATTATGTATTCTTGTGTACCTGAGTCTGTATCATGGCAGTATTACCTACCTTTTTCTCTTGTTTTGGTGATATTATATCCAGAAACATTCATCCATATATTTCATTTCCAGAATATTCTTGGTGGTTCTCTACAAAACCTTATCCCAGGATCAGAACGTCTGGTAAAGGCTAAGTCTGACGGCTCCCTAGCATCTTCAGCGACGGCAGCCAATAGCGACACTTCTTTCAATCGCATGAAGAGTCGTAGCCTGGAACCTCTAACTGGCCTTGCAATGTGGAGTTCAGAATGCCAGGTCATTGAACTCACTAAGGGAGACAGGGGCTTGGGCTTCTCAATTCTTGATTATCAGGTGAGTGTTCAATCATTTTTTTTGCACCTGCAGTATTAGATGATGCATACTGGTTTAGAGGTTGTTTGTAAATACAGTAGAACCTTGAATAAAACAAGGGTATTGGGTCATCTTTTACACTCGCATGCATCATCAGGAGCTATGCAATGTTACAAGACAGCAACAAGATCTTAAGCTAAAGATTTCCATCCCCACGTGGCTTGTTCTGCATTGTTAAGATAGGCTGTTTGCTATTGTAATGCATTAATACTTCATATAATTTCACACTATGTAACATGAATACAGCCTCTCCTCACTTAACGACAGAGTTCCATTCCTGAGACCGAGTTTCGGCCGCCCTAATTATGTGCTGCTTTGAGTTTTGACCGCCTTTTGTGACTAAACTTTGTCCTGAGTTTTGGCCATTGCCCAGTATTTTGGCTGGCGTACCAGACCTGTCCACCTGCCTGCACCTGCGCACCTCCCCACGCAGGTGTCGCGAGCCAGTCTAGCTTTGTTTATCCTTGAGTGAACATTACCCTGCGTGCTCATCCAAACATTTAACAATAAATTCATTGTGTTTAGTGCTTGTTTATTGAATGTAACTGTGAAATAAGCCACCATGGGCCCAAAGAAACTTCCTAGTGGCATCAATTGAAGCAAGAGCTTCAACTGGAACAGTATCAGATTACAGCTTCAGAGAAGGAGGAAGAGGGAGTGAAGGCGGTGCCTTCTTCAGTGATTAAGGACATGTGTGGAATGTGGAATAAGTCTCAAAGTTTTGTGGATAAATACCACCGTGAGGAAGCTGAAGCAAGCCATCTCTGCAACATGTTGAGTGACAAAATAATGTTCCATTTTAGGCAAATCTTAGGGACACCAGAAGCAGAGCACTCTTGAAAGTTATTTTGTGCGACAGGGGTCCAGTGACTCGTGCTGGTCCTAGTGCCATTAAAAGACAAAGAAGGTAAATAACCCCAGATAAGGACTTGTTACCTAAAGTCTTTATGGAAGGGGATTCCCCTTCCAAACAATAAGTCCTCCCTCTCTCCTCCTCCATATCTTCCAGATGCCAACAAGACTTCAATAAAGGTACATAAATGTGATTTTAAATGTTTATTTGTTTTGTATTACTCATTTAAGTACTATATGTATGTTTTAAGTATTATACGTATGTTAAACTATAATTATTCTTCAAGAAAAGGTATTTTTTGTGAATATTTTTGTGGGTCTGGAATGGATTAATTGTATTTACATTATTTCTTATGGGAAATATTGCTTCGAGTTTAGGCCTAGCTCCTGGAATGGATTATGGCCGAAACTTGGGGTTCCACTGTACAGTAGCATACTGTATACTGTAATAAACAGAATAGAGGAAATCAGCTCTAATATACATTATTTAGGTATGCATACTGGTCAGAGAGCCCGCCATAAGTCTAAGTCGTCGGGAAACAAGTATATCGCTAAGTGAGGAGAGGCTGTAATACTGTATATGGGAAAGTTAGAATTAGGCCCATAACACCTTCAAGAAAGCCAGTTTTTTTTAATTTCTTATTGCATTATTGTAGATGTCATTTATAGCTGATTTAGAAATGTAAGTTATGTACACAAAACCAAAATAAAGACATTTAATAAATACATTCACACAAAATTCTACAAATTCCAATTTGAAAACTGTCCAAAATAAAAACTGTAGGCATTTTAGTAACTAAAGCAACATTCCTCTGCTCATGTAACCAGGTTTCTCTATATAACACTTATCCTCCATTTCGAGTACATCATCATCACAAAAAAGTCAGTTTTACCCTATTTCTTGGATAATAAAATAAAACCAGTAATGATGTGTTGTGGTTTAGGCCATCCCAATAATTGAAGCAGACCTAGTAAAAACCCATACAATAAGATCTGGGTGCAGGGGGTCAGGGACCTATCCTTACTCAGGGAAACAACCACAAATTTAATATTTCCACCGCTTTGAGGCCTATGTCAAGCTACTTTTGGTCAAAAACCGACTAGAATCATTTCTTTTCATTCTATCCATCGATGCAAAGAAACGGCCAATACAACCATAAAAACAACCCTTGGAAAACCACCTCAAAGTTGCTGTTTTTACACCAAACACAAGGTTAGAAGTTTGCTTTTCTCACTGTGCACTATGTGGGACATAATTTTTTTTATTCTGTGCACACCCATCACACAGAACCATCCTCTCATGTCTAGGCTAAAATTTACCTTTCACAGCATAGATGAGGGCACTGTGCTTAAAATGCAGATTAATGTGAGCAATACTTGCAGGGGGTCTAATGAGAGAAGTAGATGTCTCATTAATTCTAATGAGTTTGGTAGCTGATGTCTTGTGTTGAAAGTGATATAAATAATAACAAGTTGATGATTAAGACACATGTGCAACAGTTGGGTATCTTTATTGCTGAAACTTTTTACCTACACAGCAGGCTTCTTCAGTCAAATACAGAGGCAGCAGGTGTAGTAGTAGTGAAATGAAGATGATGTAATCAGTCCATCAACCTTGCTGATGTCTTCAAAAGCTTGGTCTACAGTACTTAAGATTTTTATTGAAATTAAATAGTACATATTACCACTCTTATAGGTAGTAGGTTGGTAGACAGCAACCACCCAGGGAAGTACTACCGTCCTGCCAGATGACTGTGAAACAAAAACCTGTAACTGTTTTGCATGATGGTAGGATTGCTGGTTTCTTTTTCTGTCTCATAAACACGCTAAGATAACAGGGATATCTTGCTACTCCTACTTACACTTTGGTCACACTTCACAGACACGCACATGCATATATATATATACATACATCTAGGTTTTTCTCCTTTTTCTAAATAGCTCTTGTTCTTTTTTATTTCTTCTATTGTCCATGGGGAAGTGGAAAAGAATCTTTCCTCCGTAAGCCATGCGTGTCGTATGAGGCGACTAAAATGCCGGGAGCAATGGGCTAGTAACCCCTTCTCCTGTATACAATTACTAAAAAGAGAAGAAGAAAAACTTTATAAAACTGGGTTGCTTAAATGTGCGTGGATGTAGTGCGGATGACAAGAAACAGATGATTGCTGATGTTATGAATGAAAAGAAGTTGGATGTCCTGGCCCTAAGCGAAACAAAGCTGAAGGGGGTAGGAGAGTTTCAGTGGGGGGAAATAAATGGGATTAAATCTGGAGTATCTGAGAGAGTTAGAGCAAAGGAAGGGGTAGCAGTAATGTTAAATGATCAGTTATGGAAGGAGAAAAGAGAATATGAATGTGTAAATTCAAGAATTATGTGGATTAAAGTAAAGGTTGGATGCGAGAAGTGGGTCATAATAAGCGTGTATGCACCTGGAGAGAGAGGAAATGCAGAGGAGAGAGAGAGATTTTGGGAGATGTTAAGTGAATGTATAGGAGCCTTTGAACCAAGTGAGAGAGTAATTGTGGTAGGGGACTTGAATGCTAAAGTAGGAGAAACTTTTAGAGAGGGTGTGGTAGGTAAGTTTGGGGTGCCAGGTGTAAATGATAATGGGAGCCCTTTGATTGAACTTTGTATAGAAAGGGGTTTAGTTATAGGTAATACATATTTAAGAAAAAGAGGATAAATAAGTATACACGATATGATGTAGGGCGAAATGACAGTAGTTTGTTGGATTATGTATTGGTAGATAAAGACTGTTGAGTAGACTTCAGGATGTACATGTTTATAGAGGGGCCACAGATATATCAGATCACTTTCTAGTTGTAGCTATACTGAGAGTAAAAAAGGTAGATGGGATACAAGGAGAATAGAAGCATCAGGGAAGAGAGAGGTGAAGGTTTATAAACTAAAAGAGGAGGCAGTTAGGGTAAGATATAAACAGCTATTGGAGGATAGATGGGCTAATGAGAGCATAGGCAATGGGGTCGAAGAGGTATGGGGTAGGTTTAAAAATGTAGTGTTAGAGTGTTCAGCAGAAGTTTGTGGTTACAGGAAAGTGGGTGCAGGAGGAAGAGGAGCGATTGGTGGAATGATGATGTAAAGAGAGTAGTAAGGGAGAAAAAGTTAGCATATGAGAAGTTTTTACAAAGTAGAAGTGATGCAAGGAGGGAAGAGTATATGGAGAAAAAGAGAGAAGTTAAGAGAGTGGTGAAGCAATGTAAAAAGAGAGCAAATGAGAGAGTGGGTGAGATGTTATCAACAAATTTTGTTGAAAATAAGAAAAAGTTTTGGAGTGAGATTAACAAGTTAAGAAAGCCTAGAGAACAAATGGATTTGTCAGTTAAAAATAGGAGAGGAGAGTTATTAAATGGAGAGGTAGAGGTATTGGGAAGATGGAAGGAATATTTTGAGGAATTGTTAAATGTTGATGAAGATAGGGAAGCTGTGATTTCGTGTATAGGGCAAGGAGGAATAACATCTTGTAGGAGTGAGGAAGAGCCAGTTGTGAGTGTGGGGGAAGTTCGTGAGGCAGTAGGTAAAATGAAAGGGGGTAAGGCAGCCGGGATTGATGGGATAAAGATAGAAATGTTAAAGCAGGTGGGGATATAGTTTTGGAGTGGTTGGTGCAATTATTTAATAAATGTATGGAAGAGGGTAAGGTACCTAGGGATTGGCAGAGAGCATGCATAGTTCCTTTGTATAAAGGCAAAGGGGATAAAAGAGAGTGCAAAAATTATAGGGGGATAAGTCTGTTGAGTGTACCTGGTAAAGTGTATGGTAGAGTTATAATTGAAAGAATTAAGAGTAAGACGGAGAATAGGATAGCAGATGACAAGGAGGCTTTAGGAAAGGTAGGGGGTGTGTGGACCAGGTGTTTACAGTGAAACATATAAGTGAACAGTATTTAGATAAGGCTAAAGAGGTCTTTGTGGCATTTATGGATTTGGAAAAGGCGTATGACAGGGTGGATAGGGGGGCAATGTGGCAGATGTTGCAAGTGTATGGTGTAGGAGGTAGGTTACTGAAAGCAGTGAAGAGTTTTTACGAGGATAGTGAGGCTCAAGTTAGAGTATGTAGGAAAGAGGGAAATTTTTTCCAGTAAAAGTAGGCCTTAGACAAGGATGTGTGATGTCACCGTGGTTGTTTAATATATTTATAGATGGGGTTGTAGAGAAGTAAATGCGAGGGTCTTGGCAAGAGGCGTGGAGTTAAAAGATAAAGAATCACACACAAAGTGGGAGTTGTCACAGCTGCTCTTTGCCGATGACACTGTGCTCTTGGGAGATTCTGAAGAGAAGTTGCAGAGATTGGTGGATGAATTTGGTAGGGTGTGCAAAAGAAGAAAATTAAAGGTGAATACAGGAAAGAGTAAGGTTATGAGGATAACAAAAAGATTAGGTGATGAAAGATTGAATATCAGATTGGAGGGAGAGAGTATGGAGGAGGTGAACGTATTCAGATATTTGGGAGTGGACGTGTCAGCGGATGGGTCTATGAAAGATGAGGTGAATCATAGAATTGATGAGGGAAAAAGAGTGAGTGGTGCACTTAGGAGTCTGTGGAGACAAAGAACTTTGTCCTTGGAGGCAAAGAGGGGAATGTATGAGAGTATAGTTTTACCAACGCTCTTATATGGGTGTGAAGCGTGGGTGATGAATGTTGCAGCGAGGAGAAGGCTGGAGGCAGTGGAGATGTCATGTCTGAGGGCAATGTGTGGTGTGAATATAATGCAGAGAATTCGTAGTTTGGAAGTTAGGAGGAGGTGCGGGATTACCAAAACTGTTGTCCAGAGGGCTGAGGAAGGGTTGTTGAGGTGGTTCGGACATGTAGAGAGAATGGAGCGAAACAGAATGACTTCAAGAGTGTATCAGTCTGTAGTGGAAGGAAGGCGGGGTAGGGGTCGGCCTAGGAAGGGTTGGAGGGAGGGGGTAAAGGAGGTTTTGTGTGCGAGGGGCTTGGACTTCCAGCAGGCATGCGTGAGCGTGTTTGATAGGAGTGAATGGAGACAAATGGTTTTTAATACTTGACGTGCTGTTGGAGTGTGAGCAAAGTAACATTTATGAAGGGATTCAGGGAAACCGGCAGGCCGGACTTGAGTCCTGGAGATGGGAAGTACAGTGCCTGCACTCTGAAGGAGGGGTGTTAATGTTGCAGTTTAAAAACTGTAGTGTAAAGCACCCTTCTGGCAAGACAGTGATGGAGTGAATGATGGTGAAAGTTTTTCTTTTTCGGGCCACCCTGCCTTGGTGGGAATCGGCCGGTGTGATAATAAAAAAAATAATTACCACTCTTATGTTCATTCATTGTATTGATAAAAAATATGTGCTATTATTACAGCACATTGTTGTTATGCTTTGCAGGATCCATTAAATCCTCAAGAAACTGTTATTGTGATCCGCTCACTAGTTCCTGGAGGAGTAGCTGAAAAAGATGGCAGACTAATTCCTGGTGATCGATTGGTTGCTGTCAATGGAACCAATCTTGAAAATGCGACTCTAGATCAAGCAGTGGCAGCCCTCAAGGGAGCACCAAAGGGCATTGTGTCAATTGCAGTTGCCAAACCTATCAGCGTTCTGGAGTCAACTGGCCAGGTGAGTAGTGCCACAGATCCTTTAGAGGGTAACGATGGCAGCAGTTTGCAAACAATGATTGAGAATTCAGGGTTGCTTGGAGTGTCTCCAGGAAGTTCTGCACTGGTCAAATCTGAGAGCTTCTAAAGCATGTTCCTGCTGTGCTCTTGAGTTAATCCTAACCTAATTAAATCTTGGCGAGAAATAGTGACCAAAATTGAATATTCCTCATTCTCAGTGAATTGTAGAACATGTTGCTTGTCATAATTTGTTGAAGCTTCGTGTTGATATGAAGTTGCAAACTTTGCAGTTAGGCCTAGAGATATAATTAACAAGGATTAACTTACTATGGGGCCTTTAACATAATGTTAATGGAAAGGACTATAGTTTGCATAAGCATAAAAGTAATTCATCATATTGTATTTGAAAAAAAAATTATCCATATGTAACTAGTGGGTCTTTTTGGAGATGGTCCATTATATGCCCTCTGTTTTGCATTGCTCCTTTTACTTAGATTTACCTGATCTGTTCATTTGTGAACCATGAAGTTTTATGTTATCGTTGAGACAGTCGCGGTTGTTTCATATGGCTGTCATGAGAGTAAGTCATATAGACATCTGCTAATGCCTTGGGTAGATTTTTTTTGTGATTCATAGTTACATACCAGCTATCATTTACTCACACAAATGTATTAATATTTTACCAGTGTTTGTTCAACTGTATTTTATATTATTCACACTCCATACAGAATGGCTTGTTATTCACAATTCTTTCACTGCTTAAAATATGCGATTAATACAAAAGCTTTTTCATTTTTTATTCGTGAATTAGTGAATGAGTTTCCCAATTTTACTTGGTGCCTGGGTTGTGATTCATATAATGATTTTCAATACAAAATGGGGCACACTCGTATACACACACTTGTCAGATAATGAAAAAACACTTAAGGGTGATTATAATCCATGCATTACTACCAAAAATTTCATTAATTGTCATATTAAGACTGTTCTAATATGGTCATTTTTAAAATTTCCAAATGTGGGGATGGTGGAATGCCAGTTTTTTACTTAAAGTGTGTTAATCAAAACTAGAATAGATGGCTGTGGTATGATGTCTGCACCTTAAAAAAAATGGTAGTTAAAACAGAATACATTCAGATATGGCAAAATGACTTCCTGATTTAAGAAACTAGATTTATCAAAAAAGCTTATAGGCAATTGAGGTGTTGTTAGAAGGCAGGTAAAGGAAAGATAAAATAATTACTGTACTTACAAATTTATGAAAAAAATATAGTAAGGTATACCAGGAAGTTTTTTTCATACCAGGAATAGGGAGAGTAAGAAGACAGCATTTAAAGAACCAGTGAAGAAGGGATATTGAGAAATACTATATTTCTAAACAGATAGTGGTATTCAGTATGTGTTACAACCAGTGTAAACTTTTAAAAGAATAGACAAACAACACTGAAGATTAAATACCATGAGCATAAATGTACTTATGAAGACAGGCATGGAATTGAACAAGCCATTATTGGGACAAAGTTTTGCTCTAAGGTGAGCTGTGCTCACAACTTCTTTCAAGGCAGGAAAGATAACAGAGCCAGAAAATGTACAGAGGTTGTATACTGCCAGTATAGAATCCATTAAACATCAGAGCACTTGGATTATTCTTTCTGGTAACGAAAAAGAGAGAGAAATACTTAATAATATATACATGGATGGTGCTTGAGGGCCTAGTCCCTAACCTGCACACTACTGTAACAACTTACAAGAGTGATAGATATGGGAGAAAGTATGCATTAAACCAAGTAAAGAGCAGTGGAGCCATGGATACAGGCAGACAGTACTTTATTAACATCCATGGCTCAAGACTCTTCAGAATACTCCAAGCAGATATTAGATATTGCCAAAATGAAGGTAGAAGTTTTCAAGTCACAGGATGGCTTTCGTTCACAAAGTACCAAATCAGCCATGTTGTGATGGCTGTGTGGGCTTGCAGGTTGCTAGCATGAACAGCCTAATTTACCAATCAACAAAGAAGGATGGACTGCAGATGTAAAAATTGCCCTTCAGACCAGTCACAGGTAAAACACACCTAGACTTCTAGAAGGTAAGGTGAAAAGTTGAGTAGAGCATATAATGTAGGTCAGATTCCAGGTTCAGAGGTGAGGGTCTTGCTCGTGGTGGAAGACTGGGATGTTGCTTATCAAGAGTCGGTGACTTGTGTAATGTAGGTCAGGTCTCTTGAATAAGATCTTAGAGTGAAATGTCCCAATAAAGGCTTGTTTCTGTAGGTGTTTCTTTGTCTTTATTAGTGTTGCTGGTAAACTCTTCAACCATAGCTTTGCTTCTGTAACTACAAACATTGCTGATGACAGCATATGCATAGCATTGCAACTGTAGCTATAAATGGATGCACAAGGGCCCTGTTCATACAGCTCTAAATACGTACAGTGCCACTCGTCCTTCCTAAACTGTTGTTTAAAAATGGCAAACAGTGGTACTGTATGTGCAGGGCCCTCCTATATTGTTACCACAAATAGGTATTCTCACACAATAAGACACAGACCCATGCAGGCACTTCTGTGCAATTTAAAAATGTGAATTATGAAGTCAGTATGAATGTCCCCTCATTAGTAGATTGGAAAGCACGAGATGCCTGTACAACCACTCACAAGATCATGAAAGCATATGGGAAGATAAACAAAGATTGTTATTCAGCACCATTGCCAGGGAAAATATGAGGCCATAATTTTAATTTAAAAAAATATTGATTCCCAAAGGACACTAGAAAACATTTTTATACAAATAGAATATGTACTGGTATGGGATACAAGATGTGTTACTGTATGCAACGACCACTGAGGATGAAACACCATGTGTGTCAATCTGTGATATGTAAGTCATAATACCATGGGTGGAATGATTTACAATGCAGAAGTAGGAGAAGCTTATGGCAGTGTTTCAGTGTGACTTGTATATGGCTCAGGTCAGATTGAAACTTCGCTATAAGCTTCTCTCTCTCGTTTGTGGGTTATTTGTGCATTGTTCCACTCATGGTATTGTGCCTTTTTGTTCTTTAATTCACAGTGAAACTGCAAGTTGTAGATGGAAACTAGGCATTGTTTCTGTCCGTCCTTGATTATAATCAAATTGTGAATAAGGAAGTTATGATTCTCGATAATGGTCCAAGGCAGACCAAATCATCTAGGTTTCATCTCTATTTTGTGGCTAGTTGTGAAGCTAAGCTCTACTCCGGTATCTGTATATAGATAATTACATTCACACAGACTTGTGGGGTTCAAATCATAATCAAAATTCTTATTCATTAATAAAGACAGTATAGTAGTGCTTGTATCAGGGGATAAAGTAGATAAATGTCTAAACCTTAGTTATTTTAATTTGTTTTAATATTACTAACATTGATTGGATGTGAAAAGTGGGTTATAATAAGCGTGTATGCACCTGGAGAAGAGAGAAGTGTAGAGGAGAGAGAGAGATTCTGGGAAATGTTGAGTGAATGCGTGGGGAGTTTTGAATCAAGTGTGAGAGTAATGGTGGTTGGGGATTTCAATGCTAAAGTGGGTAAAAATGTTATGGAGGGAGTAGTAGGTAAATTTGGGGTGCCAGGGGTAAATGTAAATGGGGAGCCTTTAATTGAGCTATGTGTAGAAAGAGATTTGGTAATAAGTAATACATATTTTATGAAAAAGAGGATAAATAAATATACAAGGTATGATGTAGCACGTAATGAAAGTAGTTTGTTAGATTATGTATTGGTGGATAAAAGGTTGATGGGTAGGCTCCAGGATGTACATGTTTATAGAGGGGGAACTGATATATCGGATCATTATTTAGTTGTAGCTACAGTTAGAGTAAGAGGTAGATGGGAAAAGAGGAAGGTGGCAACAACAAGTAAGAGGGAGGTGAAAGTGTATAAACTAAGGGAGGAGGAAGTTCGGGCGAGATATAAGCGACTATTGGCAGAAAGGTGGGCTAGTGCAAGATGAGTAGTGGGGGGGTTGAAGAGGGTTGGAATAGTTTTAAAAATGCAGTATTAGAATGTGGGGCAGAAGTTTGTGGTTATAGGAGGGTGGGGGCAGGAGGAAAGAGGAGTGATTGGTGGAATGATGAAGTAAAGGGGGTGAATAAAAGAGAAAAAGGTAGCTTACGAGAGGTTTTTACAAAGCAGAAGTGTTATAAGAAGAGCAGAGTATATGGAGAGTAAAAGAAAGGTGAAGAGAGTGGTGAGAGAGTGCAAAAGGAGAGCAGATGAAAGAGTGGGAGAGGCACTGTCAAGAAATTTTAATGAAAATAAGAAAAAATTTTGGAGTGAGTTAAACAAGTTAAGAAAGCCTAGGGAAAGTATGGATTTGTCAGTTAAAAACAGGTAGGGGAGTTAGTAGATGGGGAGAGGGAGGTATTAGGTAGATGGCAAGAATATTTTGAGGAACTTTTAAATGTTGAGGAAGAAAGGGAGGCAGTAATTTCATGCTCTGGCCAGGGAGGTATACCATCTTTTAGGAGTGAAGAAGAGCAGAATGTAAGTGTGGTGGAGGTACGTGAGGCATTATGTAGAATGAAAGGGGGTAAAGCAGCTGGAACTGATGGGATCATGACAGAAATGTTAAAAGCAGGGGGGGATATAGTGTTGGAGTGGTTGGTACTTTTGTTTAATAAATGTATGAAAGAGGGGAAGGTACCTAGGGATTGGCGGAGAGCATGTATAGTCCCTTTATATAAAGGGAAAGGGGACAAAAGAGATTGTAAGAAATTATAGAGGAATAAGTTTACTGAGTATACAGGAAAAGTATACGGTAGGGTTATAATTGAAAGAATTAGAGGTAAGACAGAATGTAGAATTGCGGACGAGCAAGGAGGCTTCAGAGTGGGTAGGGGATGTGTAGATCAAGTGTTTACATTGAAGCATATATGTGAACAGTATTTAGATAAAGGTAGGGAAGTTTTTATTGCATTTATGGGATTTAGAAAAGGCATATGATAGAGTGGATAGAGGAGCAA